TACATCTCAAATGCTGATCACCCACAATGACTTTCGTGTTGCACACCAAAGTTAAATGAACTAATTTAGTCATTGTTGTTGATTGTCTAATAAGTCCATGTGAAAATAAGTCTCCCGGCGCTTGAGTTATCTTCTTAATCTCCTATTAGTCCCCCTAGATTTCTGTTGTTACGTAACTACACCGTACCTTCTGTACTACTGTGCAACTACCATACCACGTTCAAGGAGTACTATCACAGGTCACCTTCACAGGACTGTACAACATATTGGTTGTGCATCCAGCTACTTAGAAGCTCCACCATTTACTACTCCTCATTTCTAATGTCATATAGCCATGTACAGATGGCCACATACTCAAAATCCTATGAAGTATTAGCCCGAGGGCATTTGATGCACCCTGGGATACAGGAGGATTTTTCATACAATATAGATAACTAGATAGCATTGCACCTAAAATGGAAATATATACCACAGGAACATCCCTGCACTTCAGTTTTCCAGTGCAGAGTAATAATGCTTTAATATATACTCCCTTTCTATATCAAACATGGTATTTTTCAGATTCTGCTCAACTACTTTCACAATAGAATAAAATGGTATTTTGAAGGTCACGTTGTCACTCGAAGTGAATGAATGACATTTAAAATACATTTAGCCATTCTTTCATTGTGCTTTGAAAAGACTTTCTATTGTCGAGCACAAAAAAAATACATCTTAGTATAGGAGACCTGGCATCTTGGCCGGTCTGTTTTGTGACAGAAAGTAGCAGATTATTCATTTTGTGTCTGGAACAATTGCATCCTAACAACGATTAACCTTGACCTCTGTCAGGCCCTTTAAAACAAGAGCAGACAGTGAAAACGTCACCAGTCCAAAACTCAACACACTGTCCAGATGTTTGGCAGGAATTTTAAGCATCAAAATGGCCACTGTGTCGTCTTCCTTACTGTGCCGTGTAACCCAAAGCTCTCCAATCCCAAACAATCTCTCTTGGCTGGAATCTGGATTCATATAAGTTGTTACTCAAAGGATGAAGGTTTAATACACATTCGGAAGACCCATTTACTGAGTGTTGAGATCTTCTACAGATATCTGCAAAATGCATATCCGTTCTACTAAGACTTTAAAATAGATATGACTTCTTTGTGTAATTACATATTATGTTTCAAAAGTCGACTTTAATGTAAAACAAGTATTATCAGTGACTTGTCGTCTTACTGAAATTCAATATTGTATTCTGAATGCTAAAATTACTGTGGACAATACAAAACAAATGTGTTTTGTATCTCTCTTTAAAGTGACATTCTTTTTTAATCAGAATAACTTTTAGCTCAATAACTACATTTCAAAGCTTCTCCTTACACAGCAGCCAGTAGACAGCAGGCAGACATGCAAATATTGGAAGACTGGGGCGAAAATGAATTATTGACATGAGTGTAACTGAAACAAACACTGCCTGTCTGTTTGTTCACATTGCAAGTAAACGTTGACTTAATTTCTGCCCAGGAGAACATAGCTGTTAAACATTGTTGACAGATTTTTCCCCCTCCTTAATGGAACAAGAAACAAAAGCCTATCAAATGAGACTGGATCCATGTATATAATCTGCAACATGCTACATAACCATTAGGTTTAATGTCTGACTTGGAGCAGCGACACTGGCAGCCATTTTGGCACTGGAGAATCTCCTAGCTGTGCCTGACAGATGCCTTTAGAACTACTGATAGGTACAGATCCACAGTAAAAGGGGTAAAATACATCTTGGCTCTGGAAGAAACTTGATCTCTTGGCAAGCTTCCTTCCTTTTGTCATGAACCACATCATGTTAAGGTATAGCATAGTATCTCTTTCCATTTGTGGTCAAACATCTGGATGTGAGCTGCCATATCAAAGACCTGTGGGACCATAGAGACTTGGTGACATGACAATCAATTATTTGACAGTGAATTAATGAGATTTTAGATCTAGCTCTCATTCTTACCACTTCTGTTGCTTTAAGAAGGCGTGTATTGCCAAAACATGTCCTGGTTGATGGATAGAAGACAGTAACAAACTATGGTATCCTTCAGAATTTTCTTTAAAGAAACATATAAGCTGCTCCCTCCCTCTGCAGCCAGTTTTTCAGTACAGGTTATTTTGTTCCTCGATTATCTCTTTGCATGACTGAATAGAAGTAAATATATTCACTCTGAAAGCCTAATTTAAGAAGGGAACGTAGCATTGTCAACGTCGCTGTGTCGAACAGTGATAAGAAATATTTATCTAAGCACACATTTAAGACATTTGTGTTCACAGGAAGACACCGGGGAAAGAGTGTCGCTGTCATTTCCCCTGTGCCTTTGAAAGCTTCTCATTGCAAGTTAGATTCCCCTGTCAGTTTTCAGCACTGACAAGGCAGACTAATCAATGACATTCTGCAGAAATGTCTCTTGCATTTTTAAAAATGTTAGAAAAATACAAAATGACGTTCAGTCTTGGGCTCAGCTCTCGGTTAGGGTTCGATTTTGAGCTAAATTCTGGTTTCAAGCCAGGGTTCCAATACAGGGCTATAAGACCGCGAGGTTTAAAGCCGATGGAAATGAAGTAGTTGGGGTTGACACTGAATGAAGCCGAGATGGATAGAAAGCTATCAGTACAGCCATGTCACAGCCAGAGACAAGGACAGTCATGGTACTGTAGGAGTCGAGACATGATTGTATTAACCATGAAATGAGACCACGCACCTGACCAAAAGCAGCACAAACTTTCCCTATATATCAGTTGGCACATTTGAATAGAATTGTCTTGTTTTGTATCTGCAGATAATGTCGATCATTGTGTCTTACTTGCTTTAAAGGTGGCAGTTAAAATTGGCTATTCCATTGCCATTATAACATCAATGTTCCGTTTAACCTAAATGTAACCGGAAAGATAATTTGCATTCATGCCTGCATATTAATTAACTGATAATGAGGTGATAAGGGATATTTTCTCTCCACAGGTATAGACCTACTAATCAATTGTGAGTGAAATAGGGTACAAAATTAAGTCTTTCTTTATCAAGAATTTGAAATCAAAAAGCTATTTAGCGCTACAATTTCCAACAAAGTGGTTTTCATTTATCTTGTCTCACACATTATTCCATTTGGACGTTTTAAAACACTTTTCATTTGTGTAATGGTAATATTTTCCTGTAATTTCCCACTGCCTGTGTGATAGGTAATTGTGATATGGCTTTGTGGGATAGCTGGTTCCCTCTAGCTATATTCATTTGGTGGTAATAAACTTAAAATATATACTTCAGATGAGATGTTTTCAACAAATGGAATATATAAAAAAAAATCCATTCTCGATAGCGGCGCACTTCTGCCCCCTGGTGGAACATAAGAAAACGTCAGGCGACGCTTTTCAATGTGTTAATAACGTTCAATTTCTTGTACCATGTGTAACAGCTGTCAGCTAAAACTGTAATTCGGATTAACCGGATAAAACGACTAATCTCCATTTGTTAGAGAAGAGTTTTACACCGATTCGTATCACATTTTATGAAGCTGCTATTTTGTACCTCATTCCAGGGCCGCATTCATGTTTCTTAAACGCCTATCATAAGTGGTGGTTACATTAATTTTTTGATTGTCACTACTTATATGATTTCAGAATGTATTACTACTATGCGTTTGGAGAATCCATATAAGATCAATATATTATTTTAAAAGTAAAACGACTGCAAAATTTATCGTGAAATACAATCCACGAAAATAACTAAAACATCTGACAGGAATATGTTGTACATGATACTGGATTGCTCGTTCAAAGCTCAGATATAAGTACTATCGCTTATTTGGGCAACCAAAATCGTAAATCCATAACCTTGTACGTGTAGTAAACGATAGTTGTGTATATGCTGCACTGTCTGTTGCTCGTATGAATACCAGAGATTGTTTCCGAATACAGTTTGGCAAAGTGCGTAATTATAATGTCCAACCCACATGAATATATGCAAAGGGCGACCTGAATTTGCTGGGTGGAATGATGTGGTTGTGGTGCGGAGTATCTTACAGAACTCACCCTGTCACTGTGATCACCGTGAGAGGTACATACGCTGCACAGAAAGCAACTCTGCTTGTGTATGTAGGTTAACAAAGTAGCGCTAGAAGGTATTTAGAAAATAGATTTATATCAAAACTGAGCAGTAATGTTACACGGAATATCGTTGATATATTCCACTGCAGCTCCCACGACTCCCTCCGTTTGTCTTGGGTAATGTGGCAGGAGCGCCATCTGGCGGACAGTAGCATCAACTGGCTGAAGTGATTCGTCTCGTGCGGGTGCACAATAGAAAGCGTCAAAAAGATTAATAAAAACCTTCCCACCCAGGGTGTGACTCGGCCTTATGACCTGTCCACCGACGCCCCCCCTCTCCGCGACCATGCTCTGTATAAGCGGCAGATAGATGGAAATAGTAATACAGTCGTCCCTCGTTTATCGCGGTTAATCCGTTCCAGACTCTACCGCGTTAAATGAATTTCCGCGAAGTAGGATTCTTTATTATTCGGCTGCACCTGGCGTTCGAATACATAGGCCTACAGTCCATACGTACAGTAATTTGAATTTTAATTGTAATACAGAGGTGTAATTGACTCAGACAACCGAGCGCGCGCTGTATCATTTTCACTGTCTATCAACATTTTAATGAATAAATGTATTTGAAAAAACCGCGATAGAGTGAAGCCGCGAAAGTCGAAGTGCGAAATGGCGAGGGACGACTGTAGATGGAAACAGAAAAATATACAATGTGATGTTGGGCAGGATAAGCTATTGGAAGACAGGTGGTTGGATAAAATTATACATACATATATACATACATAAAACACACACACACATATAATTTCTAAGGCACGTCAGCTGAAACAGCGTGTATGATTAAAGTAAGCATACAATTATTTTTCATGAGTAATTAAAGGCAGGTCTGTCACTGCTGGGTGTGTGGTATTCAAGTGTATGTAAAAAAAAAAACTAAATGTTTGTATTTTTTTATTGTCGGGGGGAGGAGGGGTGGAAGCTGAACAGAAGTGTTTTGAGTCAAACAGCTTGTGCATTAAGTTAATAAGGCAAAATACTTAAGATGGATAAAAGCAAAATCCAACAGAAATCAACTGAAAGGCACTTCGCAATTATATCGACCACTAATATTCATCTTATTTACAGATATGTACAGTTCTGAAGGAGTGTGCCAGGGACAGAAAGCAGAGTGATTCTGTTTCCAAACACAGGCAGCGGTCGGTCATTACATGTTGGACACGGGGCAAGGCTGAGAGACAGGCGAGGGCGTACTGCCGTAAAGGGACAACGCACATTTAAGGGAAGTCATCGAAAATGGCGATAGTTAGTAAAAATAGCATGTAGTAATAAAACTATCTGATATAAATCAGTCAAAGTCTAGAATGTAATCACCTAAAATCTGTCCTGTGTAACGTCTTTCACTCTCTCTAAAAAAAGATTGGATTCCGCACTAAAACACCCTGCTTAGTACTTTATAACAGGGTAGCCCATCCCAGACTGGGAAAAAAACTGTGCTTTGATTTAGGAAGTGATTCCCTGCTTTAAGTCTGAACTGGGTGCCCCCCCCCCCGACACACACACAGCCGGACTACTTTATTCACCGTACTCACAGAGTGACGTCTGAAAGACATCAGTCCTACATCTATGTCAAACACTGCAAATTCTGACCACCCATAAACTGTGACTCCATCTATGATGCTGGAGTTGCTGGCATGATTGTGGCGTCTCGCCCTTAACCTCTGATTCCGGATCAGATTTGGATTTCCACTCATGATGGGTGGATTGGCTGCTGAGCGGGAGGCCCGCTGATCTGAGGGCAGCCTCAGTGGGAGCCGCGGTCGTTGGCCACATCCTGCAGCCTGCGTAACAGGGCCGTCTGGTTCTCCTGGCACAGACGCTTGGCGGGTGACAGCCCCCCTCCGTCTTCCAGCGCCATGCTGCGCTTCTTGGTGGGTGTCTCCCCAGTCTTGATCATGCTGTTGATCTCACGCAGTCGCTGTAGTTGGAGGGGGGGGGGGGGGCAGTTACCATAGCAACTAGATTCCTATATACTGAACAGCTCAGTCAGGTGTTTGCAGGGAAACAAGATCTTCGACCCGTGAACATGACAAGGGTTAGTGACAGAAGCCACAGGAATCATAATATTAGGCAAAAGGCTTCCTTACCACGTACCTCCAGACCTCTGTAAACATACTGGCTTAAGTGGTTATCTAGCATTAGAATTGATGATACTCTCCACACGCCGTGAAGGTGACATGAAGCTAAGTAGCACTTCTGTCTCTAGTGTATAAGTGTCACTCTGTATATCTGTGGGTATTTACCAGCTGATATAAGTATCAGCATTTAAGAATATAAGCATGCATGTGTTTATTAGAATGACTGTGACACGCACAGGACATTGTTAGACATATTAAACATATTATAAAACATATTAGACACATATGACATGTGGGTGTCATAAAACGAAACATTCCCAGCACATGGTTTTGAGTAGCACGTGTGTGTGTGTGTGTGTGTGTGTGTGTGTATATGTGGATTATGTTTATATTACACTGTGTGGACCAAGTGTTCCCCACAATGTAATAAAAACCTGTTATTTTGATGTTGTGGGGACAATTCTTCAGGCCCCCACAAAGATCTGTGAATGCAATCAAAAAAGTAAAAATGCCAGAAGTATTTTGTTTGGTTATTTATGGTGAAGGTTAGTGCTGGGTAGGAGTTAAGGGTGTCATGTGGGATTAGGGTTTTACCCATAGAAATAGAGAGTCCCTACAGATATATAATTACAAACCGGTATGTGTGTATCTGTGTCTGTGTGTGTGTCTGTCTGTGTGTGCGTGTGTCTGTCTGTGTGTGC